TGAGAACTCAGTTGCTCCAAAATAAATTTCCTTTTGTCTTTTCCAGTCATTCCCAGTTCATCCGCCCATTCCATCAACTCTTGTTTCGACATATCTTTCATCTCGCTGGCCATGTTGTCTTCTATATGTCTTCACTGTTCCCGGCCAAGCCCCCAGATGTCACACGCAACGTAAAATTACCGTAATTGGTATAGTACAGGTGTGATGGTTCAAATACCAAAATGGCAACAGTAACATAAAGACTTCCATGGCGGCGATGATAACATACGAACACGGAGCCAACAGATGAGGTTTCAACTGGTACCGGTATTATTATACTCTGCAAACATCAAGTACAATAACGCGGTAATACTCCACTACTCCAATGACTAGATACTTAAACTCCAATACAATTCAACGAGATCTCCGATCTGAACTCAGTGCTGAACAACACCCCTATATATAGCTCCACTGTCTATAAATAGACCATTACATCAGCATACATAATGAGTCTGGCACTTAATACAAATTTCTAGAATGTTCCGTTACCTTTTATTGCCTCATACAGTGTTCTATTACCTATTCAACCAGTTTCTAAAAAAAATCTAGAATATTCCACTAAGACACAGTACGGTTCTAGAACATTCTCAGTGACACAGAAGTGGTAAATAAGTCGTATGCGACACTGGTCTACCAACTTCAACATTTATTTCAGCATCTATTCAGCAAAACAGGTCACTAGAGTTTACATTCAATCTTAACATTACAATTACAGTGTTTATTTGGTAATACCTTTTTCATGTCTTCATATTTTAAAAAGAGTACATTGTCTTCGTCTTTTTTCTTCCACCAGTAAAGTACATGAGCTGGCCATTCACCAAAAATAACTAGGGACATAAACAAAAAAACGTTATATATTCAGATATCATTGCATTAGTGGAAATACAATACGTAACATCTACGTAAACAATGACGCCGCTGTTTTCTTTCAGTAGTGTATGATATCGTATATAATCATCAAACATAACTGTATGTAAGACACAGGATCGACTCAACATTATATAGTATTTTAGTATTTCATATGCCGTTCTTTCTTAACAATAAAGTATTTTCAATACAGTTTCACACAAATGTTGAGAATTGGCTTTTTTCGTACAAAATGCGATTATTCTATTATTCGTTATAATATACTACGGGGTACCAGGGCTAATTATTGAGAACATCCTTTGCTTGTTTTGCACTGTTAATATACAGACTTAGTGGAGTGGAAATAATGAATGACTTTCAATTAAAAAAAAAGATCAATATCACGGCTACTTTCCTTGAATAAATGGTCGATTTTTTAAAAATCGTATGCACGTTGTTA